ACATAGAAAATCGAAAATGGGGGTCTCTTTTTGTTCTCAGCACCACAAAACAACTCACTTTTAAGCTTGCCAGCCATTTTAAAGTGAATTACAGATGAAAATTTTGTCTGTATACTGACTTTGGGACTCAAAAATATGTAATTTGACCAAATTTGGGTACGACTGAGGCAGGTCATAAGTGCGGGTGGACATAAGTCGAGTTGGTCTATGGTCGTAGAGTTGCTGTATATACTTTCTATGAGCTGGAACCAATTACCCAATATCTCCTTGAAACAATGGTTTCGGTTAACAAAATTTTCAGTTAACAAACGAATCTGTGGAACGAATCGAGTTCGTTAACCGAGGGACCACTGTATTATTTAAGCACTTTCGACTTACGACCTGGATTTGGGTCCCTAACCCCGCCGAAAGTCGGGGAGGAGCTGTAGTTGAAATCGCATAAGAAAAATACGCTCAAGTTGCGAGTCTACTGAACAGTGATTTTTGCTTAATTAACCCCAAATTTAGCAATTTTATTCCCAGGCCCAGAACCGACAGATTTTCTTCGAACATTCGTGGAATTTTCTCAGAAAATGCACCTGATTTTCAACCTTGGAAACTCATTCACATACCCAGAATCAAGATAATTTTTCCAGAAAATTTCCGAGCCAATTTCAATTCCGAGTATTTGATTGTTCTGGCCAACGGAGATATTGTTGAATTGCAATTAATGAATATTAAGGTCTTTAACCCTTTCTGCCAGAGGACATATCTTGTCTGTTCTAGAACACCAAACAGTGCACCAGAGGATGCTGTGTGTCTTTGATGGAACATTAATATGCCACTAGTTATAGTTCAGTACCATTTTTGTTTTCCATGTGTGCTGGGGTGGTGGTGGTGCCACTGGTAGGTATTGAGGTGATGTAAGGGTCATTATGGTAGTGTGTGGGTGCGACTGTTGTAATAGCGATAATAATGTTATTAATACAGGGTAATGTCTTTGTAAATGACTGAAAATTCACTCACCCAGAATAGGAGGGAAATATTTTTAAGAAAATGGAAAACTCTGGGTGGCTGACAGTACATTTTCTCTAATTTCATTGCACAAAAATTACTAAAGGGAAAAAAAATTATCATATATCAGGGTTTTACCCCATTATAGTTAGGGACCCAAATCCAGGTCGTAAGTAAAAAATGCTTAAATAATACATAGAAAATCTAAAATGGGTGTCTCTTTTTCTTCTCAGCACCACAAAACTCTCACTTTTAAGCTTACCAACCATTTTAAAGGAAATTACAAACAAAAATGTTGTCAGTAGACAGCGCAATCACGAACGTCGGGACTCGAAAATACATAATTTGAAAAAAAACTTGATACGACTGGGGCTGTTGTATGTCCGGGTGGTTGTAAGTCGAGGAGTAGCTGTATTGTTAAATTAATAATGTATATGTTGTAAATATTCACAGAGAAATAAGAAATATCAGAGGGACAATACAACAGTAAGCATAATACAACAGAAATTAAACATTATAAGCCGAGTACAGTGATATCTCCATTAGCTGGAACCAATAGTGCAGAGCTCTTCCGGGGATGAGAGATTTCTGGGTAACGAGACGACTCTCTCAAACCCAAAAGGAATCCCACATCCCTGGAATTTTTCCGGGGACATGAAATTTTTTTTGAAGAATTTAAACTACACATCTTGCAAGGGCAGACACTACAGAATCACACACCCCCAGAATATTTCTGGGAGTTGGGTAAAGTTTTCAGAATCTAAACTACATATCATATCTCGACTCTAAACTATGCATCTCATCACCCCATATCCCACAGACATTCAGACCGCGGGTACAAACGAAAATATTAACAGTTGGGAACAGTATATAAACATTTTTTCACAGCCTCTGTTCTAATAGTGTTGGGGATGAATTTGGTACCATAATGATCCTGAATAAATTCTCTACAAGACTGTTCCTATAAAAGATCTTTAAACAAAATATTTTGACATGGTGTAATGATGAGGGTTGATAATGGTGTCTATCAAAGCAGTTCTAAATTAGTTAGAAACACTGTTTTACCCAAATAATCCTGAATAATTTATCTAAACGTTTGGTTGAATATATTGTATAAAACTAAAAATTCTAAGCAACAGATGTTCAAGGCTTGAATGGAGCTAGGAATCACAGCCAAGACAGTGGAGTTTACTATCCCACACTGGGTAAATTTTTCCCAGCGTCTAAAGAACGCATCTCATACGGAGCTATATTTATGTACACAAACACCTTTGTACATGTACAAGTAAATAAACTAAGTAATGTACAGTCTCTCCTCGACTTACGACGGGGTTCCGGACCGACGACCGGGTCGTAAGTCAAAAAGGCGAAAATAATACATAGAAAATCTAAAATGAAATACAGTACAGTGGCCCCTCGGTTAACGAGCACAATCCGTTCTAGAAGGTTGCTCGTTAACCAAAAAACTCGTTAACCGAAACCATTGTTTCAATGGGTTTTTGGGTAATTGGTTCCAGCTCACCGAAAATTGCCTAAATTCAACAAAAAAAGTAGAAAAGTACACTTGCTTTGAGGTGTGTATGTAGAAGGCTCCTGGATGATGATGATGATGATGATGATGGGAATTAGAATGGGGGGTGGAGAAGGGAGAAGAGAAGGCATTGGGGTGGAAGAGAAGTCACCCTATGGCACCATTTCACCCATAAAATTTTAGTTCTCTTGGTGCAATTCAAGATTATTTTCTTTAAATCAACACTGCACTGCATTATATATTGTCAATATGTAAAATAAATTTCAAAATGACCAATAATTTGCTTGCAAAAACAGAAAAAAAGCATTTAGTTGAAGAGAGTCTCAAGCAAGATGTTACCTCCACTGAAAAGACACAAAGACTGACGCCTGTATGGTGTGTTGAGAGGCTGGATGGCACGCATAAAACTAGTTTCATTACCTTCAATTATGTTCAATAATTGTTAAAATGAGTAAAAAATTTAATATTAAACTTTTAAAATTATTGAATAGTATAAACTTCTTGATATTTGCTAAAATGGTAAGGAATTTAAGCCCTAGAACCGATTACTGTATTGGCGGACTAATACTACAGCTGGTGGACCGCCAAATGCAAGCGAAATCATGTTCAGGTTGGCTCGTAAGAAACTCGTTAATCGAGGGATTGCTCGTTAACCGAAGTTAAGAATCTTATGGAAGGTAACTCGTTAACCGAAATCTCGTTAACCGAGGCGCTCGTTAACCAAGGGACCACTGTACAGTAAAAGTAATCAATAATGAAAAATGAATAAGTGTTACTGTGCAGTTCCCTTTAATGTAGTCAGATGAATGCACACGGGGCCTCAATATTTTTTTTAATTAAACATGGAGACTACATTAATTGGATGAAGCAAAGGAGGAGACAGGGCTGGATGGGTCATCAATTTCACTTTCTTCAGACAGGTTAACATACAGGGGATACTTGCTTGTCGAAGGTATTGGATCATCTTTAGAGAGTGAAGAGGCAGCACTGGTGGGGCGTGAGGAGACAGCAGTGGGGGGACTTCTTAAAATATATGTCCAATTTAGACTGCAGTTTGCTTTTTCTTTTCAAAGTAAATCTCCCTGTAGCAAGCAAGTACATCTTGGATCATTCTGTCGACTTTTGCAAAACGCTCCACACTTTTATCCATTTCGTCAAACATTTGCATCCCTTTATTAATAGTAGCAAATGCCTCTGCCATTTGTTTCACTGAAAACTTTTGGGGAATGCAGGTTCTTCTTCTACATTTTGTCTCTCTTCCTCTGCAATTTTCTGTGCATCCAGTTCAATAAGATCCTCGTTACTGAGCTCTTTTGCTACACTTTCAACCAACTGCTCAACATCTTTAATATCAATTTCTAACTCCACTATCTTGTTACTAATCTGAAAAATTGCTTCATCTTCATTAAATCCTTTGAAACTGTTTACATATCTTTTCAGGACTTTCTTCCATATTCCATTCATGCTGCAGCTATGTTCTTTATACATGTCCTTCCAAAACTGTCTGAGCATTTTCTCACCTTCAGTAGCAGCAACAGCGAGTGAAGGTCGTACGTAAATAATACGCTTTAAAAGCAGCAATAGCACCTTGATCCATGGGTTGGATGACATCAGGGTGCAGGTCATCCAAGTGTGGTGGGTGTCCCGGAGCATTATCTAAAATTAATTAAATCTTGAATGCAATCCCTTGTTGCATACAATACTCTTTGGCTCGTGGAATGAAACAACTCGGGAACCAATCCTCAAACAGTGCTAGGGTCATCCATGCTTTCTTATTACTGCGATAAAACACTGGTATTGTGTGCTTGCTGACATTTTTAAAAGCTCTTGGGTTTTCTGAATGATATATCATGAAGGGCTTTATCTTGAAACCAGCTACATCCCCCCCCCACCAGAAGTGTGATTCGGTCCTTGAATGCCATGAATCCTGGCATGGTTTTCTCCTCTTTCTGGATGTATGTCCGTTCTGGCATCCGCTTCCAGAATAATCCAGTTTCATCCACATTAAATTTTTGCTCAGGCAAATAACTTCCCTCCACGTAAGATTTAATTACTTGAGGAAGGCCAAGAACTAGTTTCCGGAAAGCACAATCAGGTCAATAAAGGCAGAATTTGTATCATTTGGAGGTTATACATGGGAAAATCAGAGGTTGATGTAGTGTGGCCAGCTATATTGTTATTTTTACCATTAGTTTATGATACTTGCATTTGGCGCAATTTTTCCAGTCTATATTACTCGTGAAATACAAGATCTTACTGTAGTACATTACAGCTAGTAACCAAACTATCCAACATAATTTAACTGTACTAGGTCATATTATTTGATTAATTTTAACCCTGATACAATATGGACCTTTAATTATTATAACTGTACTTCTTGCCATGTAAGGAAGAAAATGCAGATAACAATAAAGATGCATTTGTTTATATAACCTAAGTACATAATATTGTCTATAAGAGTTTGCACATTTCCTACCTGCATGACTGCGGTAATGGGAGAGCAGAGTGGACGGAGCAGTGAAGAGACGTGCTGGGTGGCAGATTTTACATTCCAGAGTATCCAAGGCCATAACAGATTGGGACCGAATTTCAGCAATTAGCTTTAAAGCCATTTCTTTCTCTGCCTGAATTAAGCAGATTATCATTAACAGACTGAATAGATATCCTCTTTCAAAATCATATTACACTCTAGAAATCACTCTGGCGGTCATGTTTGAGCAAACATCAACTCAATAAAGATTTTCTACTTATAAACAATGTATTTAATATCTTAGTTGGAAAAAAATTTGATTTTTTTTTTACTATAGTGTAATCAATTTTATTATTAGTATTGATTTTGTATTTATTTTTACCTACCTGATAATTAACATCTTTCTGTTGTTTGCTCTAACAAACATCATACTGTACTTTTTCTGTTATGTTTTTAAGCCCTTTATAACATGGATGAAAGTTAACTTCCTTAAATTCAGCTAATATTTTGAGTTTGTTAATAAACCACCTTAGGACTGTAACTGAAAAATACTTGAATGATTTATTAACATCAGTATCTATTAATAGCTTATGAAAAGAGAAAATGATTGACTGACAGATAACTGTCCAAAGATAATTTTACTTAAAAAATGATGTATCTTCACAAAACAATACGTTTCATGCCTTATTTTGATGCATATCTTTTTCTAATTTAATAAAAAATTAAGACATGCTTAAATAGTTTTTATGCTTATCTCTTTGCATGGAACATTCATGAGGCAATAATATGCCTTAGTATACATAAGAATTTCAGTTATTTGAAGTTGTTAATTCCAATTAGATTTACTAAGCACACAGTGAACTTAAACAGTAACCCTATCAACAGTGCAAAAATCAATTTGTTTTGTATAAGGAGTCATGCTTAAAGAGAGAGAAAATCACTGATTATAATTGACTAAAGTTCACTTGTTTTATGCACTATTGGACTATGTATGCACTTTAAAAAATCATATCCAAAACAAGTTTATTAAGTCTGCTTACACATGTAGCTATCTATTTACCAACTTGCAGTATACTGTACACGTATCCTCCCCATAGTGGACTGTACACTTACCCTCCCCATAGTGGACTGTACACTTACCCTCCCCATAGTGGACTGTACACTTATCCTCCCCATAGCATACTGTACACTTATCCTCCCCATAGTGTACTGTACATTTATCCTCCCCATATTCGCGAGGGTTACATTTCTTGGAAATCGTCGCAAAAAGTGAATTCTCAAATACTGTACTGAATTTAAGACCTTATGGAAAAAAGGGTATGGTACCATGGCTACTAATATAAAAGTTAAATTTTTTTTTTACAAAATTAATTGTTTGCTCTATGTATAATTCACGTCTGATTCTGTAAATAAACACCTAACTTATATTACTCAGGATATTATAGTCAACCCTAGTAAAATGGTTTTCTTAACTAGAGCAAAAGAAAAAAATTACAATATTCTAATGTGGCTTAAAAACAGAAAGTACAGGAGGTCCCCGACTTACGAACTCCCGCCGATATAAATGGGGTTAAACTTTAAATTTACAGTATTATTTACCTGATGACTCTTTTTTTACTTTCATTTACTGTGCATATTTTGTCATTCTATTTTTTCTCTGAAATTAAGTGATTTTAGATGTAAAAAAGGACTTTGGCTATGATATAATGGGATTTTAAATATTTTTCTTTAACCCTTAGGCCCCGGGTGACGTTCCAGATCATGCGCCTATTCCCGCCACTGTTTAAATGCCCAGTGCAGGTTATCAGGTTCCAGTGTGATTATGTGCCTGTCACACCACATGCTCGGCCACAGGGAAGCTTCCTGAACATAATTACCTACTTTTGTTTGTTTCATTTTCATTGTTTGTCGATATTATCATGTTGTATCAAAGTAATATTGCTGAAAGTAGTGTAGTTGTATTGTAGAGTAGTATTACTGTAAAACACTGCAATGATTATGTAATAAATGTATTTATTTGTGGAATTATTATTATTTTATGCATTACTTGCTCTGCCAGACAGCCAGGCGACCTACTGGTGTTGCCAAGCACTTCTTACGAAAAATAATGCAAATAAATTATTTATAGCAAATAAGTATTAAGATCAGTAAATAAATACATTATTGGCCACCTCAGACCCAAAGGCGAGCTAAAAATAACTACTAAGAGTGGAGGGACCACGAGTGTCAGCTGTCAAACCAACACTGTCTCCTTATCTCCCCCCCTCCCTCCGTGCAGCCAGGGAAGTTTCTAGAGGGTCACTATATAGTTTTTATTACTTATTTTTTATGGTTTTATCATTTTAAAAGGTTAAAAAATATTTTTGGTTAAAGTCGATTTTTCTCGATATACTCCCGCCTGGGAGGGGGAGGGGGGGTAGTGGTGTACTGTTACCAGCACCCTAACCCTGGGCTTAAGGGTTAAAGTGCAGTATGTGCATAGCATGTGTTCCGACTTACGTACAAATCCGACTTAAGAACGTCATCAGGAATGGAAACCGTTCGTAACCCAGGGACCACCTGTATAATATAAAATTATAAAAATGAAGAGCATGGGTGTGTGTTTGTGTATAGGAGGAGATGAACATATGTAGAGGCAGTTCACTGTACTTGTGGCTCATTGAGAGAGAGAGAGAGAGAGAGAGAGAGAGAGAGATATGAATGAATGAATGACATCAGTTGTGTTCGGACTGTTGGACTAAATTAGAATTTTTACTGAACAGGACCAAAGAGGACAAAGTTCAGTTATCTGGAAGATTCAGATACTGTAGTTTGAATTTGTTAAAGAGGAATTGCACTATGGATTAAATAAAGTCTATGACATTGGATTTACCATAAAAGTGAAGAAGTTCTGCATACAGCCAGACATGAATGAAAGAGGTTGTTGGGTGTTACTGGGTCAGTAAAAATGGGAACCAAATTTTACCAAAGGGTGCTGAATATTAAATCTGGTGTCTTAGATACTCTGTGGTGCAATGTACAGCACCTTATACACAAAATATTGGGGTGCTACACCAACCTCCCTTCCCACGTCCATGTACTGGGTGGAGTGAGAGGGGGCGGACAGTGCAGCACACACGAGAGAACTGACTAACCACGGAGTGTGTGTGGGAGATGAGCATAACTTTATGTCTGATAAACAAGTAATATTCTTAAATGACATCCAATCAAGTTGACCCAGTTAAAGCCAAATTAACTACCGTAAGTTGAAAAGTTGTGTACAGTAGTTCTAAGATTTCTTGCGACTTACCTTACTCTGTCCAATAAATTTTGCTCGTCCTTTAGGTTTTTTGCGAATCTTATATTCATCCCTCTCTATTACCTTGGACACAGTCTGAACGTTAGGAGATGGGTTATTGTGATCGTACACAACTGGTAAGTCCGCTGTAAAAATAGAAAAATACCAGAGTTTTAATAAACAGACAAATGAAGGGCTGAAGTATGATACCCTATCTTATGGTCAGGACTGAAATGAATGACTAATTTGAGATCCAGCATACTGAATGCCATGTGGCAACCTGCCTATTGGCAAAAAAGATATAGTTCTGGGGTGAGACACTTTATCAAATAACAAATTCATTGAAAAGCTTTGTATGTATATACCACAAAGCAGATTCTTTGCCCAGCACATCTGGGCCTCTTTAAGGTATCTGGTGATGTGGCAGATGGCTATTGGGTTATTCTTCAATGACATATTGTGTTTAGCAATAAGGACATTGTGTCAACATGCAGAGCTAGCTAGCATAAATTTTAAAATCAACAATCCATATAAGATAGAGCAATGATGAAGAATATAGTGGAAAAACAAAATATTCTAAGGCCAGGTAGTAGACAGCTGTCAAACAGGGAGGTACTACTGATTTTTTTTTTTTTTTTAGTTTTGTATTTATTTATTATTATTATTATCATTATTACCATCATTATATTATACAGTTATGTACTGTATTATATTTTCATTACATTTTTTTATTATTACAGTATTACCCTGTATTATTATTTTTATTATCATCATCATCATTATTACTATATTTTCGCCTCCGGCCCCGATGTGTCATTGACCTGTGCCCTGGTGGGCCAATCCCGTGTATATATATATAAAAAAAAAAAAGGTTTCTTGGCACAGTATCTACAAAAGTAAATCTGAGTAAAGCAATGATGATAAACCAAATATTCAACTATTGTTGTTTGAGTCACATTCACAACTGCAATGATTCTAGATTTGATCTCATGATAATATGTTAGAGTAATTTATTATGATATACAATTAATACGAGGATTTGTTTGAGTACCCTCGCCAACCACGGATTTCCCATCCATGGATTCTGGGTATCAAAGTTTTTACTCTGTACAGCAAACCATTTCACCAACTACTGACTGAATTTCGACTGTCCGCGGACTTGTGTGTCATCTTTATCTTTCCGTGGTCTAATGTATTCCTCCACAAATGTGAGGGATGAATAAAAATAATACTTATAAGTAAAATAAAAAAAATACTAAGGACATGGGAGTGCGCTCCCCCCCCCTCACGATCGTGGGCTAACTCCCATTGATATAAGAAATGATTATTCTCTTTATGTTTTGACCTAATGATGATAATATCCAATTTTTTGGAGGGCACATTCTGTATACCTACCCGAAATTACGAGTTGAAAAAGAACAACAATGAAATTCACAGCTTGGCCCAGTAGGGACAGGATGAGAACCCGAGACCACACCCCTTCTGCTTCCACAATCCAACACTAACTCTCGTGAATGAAAAAAAAAATTAGTCTTTTTTGTTTTTGACCTTATGATAATCATTTATTTTATTTATTTATCTTGTTTTGTTTTGTTACACTTTATGTATGATCGATTGTGGTGTGCATGGAACATAAATAAAAAATAGGAGTTGAAAAATAACAATAACACAGCTTGGCCTGGTAAGGGAAGAGCTAGAGGGATTTAGCTGCAGGTATAGTATAATGTGGAGACCTGCCAAGTTCACACACTGTAACAATAATTTTTTTATTTACCTTTTTATTCTTATTTCTTTACATTTACTGACTTTTACTCCTTTCTTTCTCTATTCTTTAATTATTTCTTTGTTCTTTTATACTCATGAGATGGGGGAAGATTAGGGGTGGAGGAGAGAGAGGGGGTGAGGAGAGAGGGAGGAGATTGAGGGCCGAAGGAGGGTGACTTGTTTATGGTTGAGGGGTGAGTGAGGGCTGGTTTGTGGTTAGGCCACAGTGGGCCCTCACACCAAGGGGAGAGGTTAGGAGGTGGATAACTGAGGTGATAGGGTTATGTTATTTCTTATGGCTCATAGTATCACTGCATAAAATCAAGACACTTATAACACATCACTCTTTCTCAATAAGGGAGGGATGAATTAGGACTCCTTAACAGTTACTATATTTTTTGAATACTTTCTATTAGGGTTTGACAATTATACTTCAAAACAAAAAATTATCCTCCTAGCTAGTAAAACAGGGTTTACATGAATCACAATACATTCCGTGAAACGGATAAAACGTGATGGGTATTCACACGTATAAATCCCGCCATGGGAGAAGATGATCCACAAGACCATACTGTACTTCACTCTCTCCCAAACCAGACTGTCTTTTTCAAACACAGGCGTCCCATACAGTACGCCACAAGGTCATGAAGTAATGTCTCCCAGGCTCTCTTATTGGTTCAGGCCTAAGGCATTCACACTCACAGGTCACTGCAAATGGCTCACACTAGGCGGGAAATACTCACCCATGCCATTGTTACAACACACACACACCCATGCTCTCCATGTGTCTTATTTTATAGCAACATGCCATCTCCTTGGAGATGTAGTGTAAAATTTTTATTACAATTCAATTTATATTACGCTACTTCATATGTACAGTAGAGTCGGGGCCAAAAGTTCCCTCCTGCCCAAAATGAAGCAGCATTGACCCCAAATGAGATGAAACAGTTAAGGTAAGTCAGTTCGGAGACTCATTTTCATGACTCGGTTTCACCACGGGAGTGAACTTTTGTCCCCGTCTGTACTTGACTCGAATTTAATTACAACAGGAGACTTGAGTTTTGATGAGTATTATCTGCCGCCATGGAACCTAACCCCCTATTTCCCATAAACCTTAAGTCTTGCCACCCATGGGGTTTTAAAGAGCCTAAACCCTATGGTTGGCGAGGCATTACTGTAATACAGTATGCTTATGCTATACAGTAGGGTTGCAGAATCTGAGAAAAACTAAGCCGGACTGGCCATACTACCCGCATGGACGACAGTAGATTACCAAAGCAGATACTTTACAGTCACCTAACAAATGGTTAACGTAACGTTGGCTGGCAACGTGAAAGGTAAAAAGGATAGTCTTAAGACAAACCTGAAAAATGTCAAATGGACCCATTCACCAGGGGCGATCTCTCCACACTATATCGCTTGGAGGACCACCATACGAGAAGGAGTGAATACTTTCGAGTTAGCCTGACTGCATACAGAGGCAGACAAGTGCCAGTGCCAGAAAGACACTGCTGCTGCCCTCCCACACTAGCTGTAGCCCTCCACACGTGCAACATCTGTGGAAGGCCCTTGCCGGTCACGTATCGACATTCTTATATTTGCTTAAATAATTAAGAAATTTTGATCTGAGACTCTCTTGGCAGTCCTCGCTCCTCGTTGTAGTTGAGTTGTCAATTCATTAATATAATTTCTACTTTAACCAAATATAAAAATTTTTGTTAACTTGTCATGATCTTAAATATGAATGAATAGTTTATTATTATCAAAATTCTACCTTTGGATTGTTTAATATTTATCCTGACAGTAATGCAGCCAAAAATAGATCCACCAATCACAATGACCTTTACATACAGCTTTACTCTACCAAATATTGCCAGTACGAGACTCAGGGTGGGGTCGATGGCTGACTGTTACCCTCTGCTACTAATGGTTGTCATATAGGCTCTCAAGATAATTTCTTGTTGTTTCTATGGCTTATAGCCCCTATCAAGTGGTTTATTTTTCTGTATCCTGAAAAAAGTAAAGATGATCCTCCTCAGGGTTAACCTACTGACAGGAGCCAGAGGCAGTAACTCACTGACAAAAATTTTCTTCAGAAAGTTAAACTAATAAAGATGAAATTGAAATTATGAGTACACATGTTTGACAATGTCATCATAAATTTAAAGAAATACTAATAAATACTTGACAATACTAACTATACAACATCCACTGGGCAAGTCTGTGTCAATCTTACCTTAACAAATCCAGATTTTTGCTATCACCAAACTAAAAAACAAAACAACTCTCTCTCTCTCTCAACCTTTTAATGGAGTTAGTCAAGCCACGTTGAAATTTCTTTTCCTCCTCCTCCGTCTTCTCACACCTTGATTCATACACATACAGTGACCCATCCCTAACTCCCTATTTCATCCTGAGTCATATTAGTCTAGGAGTGACCTTCACCTATTTCATCATACAACTCAACAATTTACCACTCAATAACACCAGCACACCTTTTGATTTTATCTTTTCATACACTTTTAACTTTACTCCCCCCAGCATGTCCCAAGTTTCATCTCTCATTCACCTCCCTGTTTTGTTTTGTACAAAAGCAAGGCATTCAGGTATAAATCAACCATATTCTCAATTGCTCTGGATACATTCATGCATAGTAAGCCACAACAGTGTAATTGCTGTCTCGTCTTTTCTGGCAACTGAGTGCACAAAGGTAGGATGAAGTCAATATGAGAATTATAAAGAAATAAGGTAAAAATAATTAATGTTTGCATTCCCAACACACCTGAACGCATAATCTTGTACTGTTGGTCAGGTGTAAATTCAACCTCACAACCCACCACTGGCAAGGTGTTCCTGTACTTCCACAGTCTTGGGCCATCTGAAAAATAGAGATTTTAGAAGCTTATTATTGATCATGCATTATATTTGTCTATTTTCAGACTGCAATTCATATTTCATCATTAAGTCATTAAGATGTACCCATATAAATTATGTCACTATTTTTGGAACTTCAAACTTTCTCAAGATTGAAAGAAATTTTGTGAAATAATAAATTAATTAATACAGCATCCCCTTAAAATTCACGGATTTTCAACACGGATGACACCCTGGATGTACCCAAGAATGTCTAAGGGCAGTTTTAAAGTTGCTGGCATTTTTGTGGCCAGGACAGGGAGCCATTCATTTCCCTTAAATATAAATATATATATATATATATATATATATATATATATATATATATATATATATATATATATATATATATATATATATATATATATATATATATATATATATATATATATATATATATATATATGTGTGTGTGTGTGTGTGTGTCTACACACATATATATACAATACAATACATATATACAATCAGAAACAAATGTATTAAAAATGTTGAGTCTACCCTCAAGTCCACTCCATGCTTTGTTATTAATAAAGCATGGAGTAGACTTGAGGGTAGACTCAATATTTTTAATACATTTGTTTCTGATTATTTGTGAGAGGATTTTTCCATTATTATTTATTTGTACTGTATGAGTTTTGTGTGATTGCCCCACACACACATATATAATAAAAGAAATAATTGTCTCAAGGGCAAACACGAAAGTAAAATGTAACCCCTTGGTCAGCAAATGTTATTTGCAGATTTGGCGATTCGCAGCCATTTTCAGAACCTAACCCCTGCGAATTTAAGGGGCATGCTTTAAATGCAAAAACATATCATGTACAGTGATATCTCAGTTAGCCGGAACAATTGGTGAAAAGGACTTCCGGGAATGAGAGATTTAAGGTAACGAGACGACTCTCTTAACACCGGAAAAAATCTCTCATCCCCGGAATTTGAGTAACTGAAAATGTTCTTTTAAGTTCCAGACACTGCACATTACATCATCTCTCAAACCTGGAAAAATATCACCCATCCCCGTTTCCAGGCATTGGAAAAATTTTCTCGGAATTTCCGGACAATGCTCCCGATTTTCATCCTGAAAACCAGGGAAAAAATTCCCCCATCCCCAGAAAATTGTTCTCAAAGCTGGAATTTTCTGGAAAACCCCAGCTTTGGAAACAATTTTCCGAGAAGATTTCAATTCCAGGCATCAGAGTTCCGGTTATGAGGGATTCCGGCTAAGGAATATTACTTTTAATTATATTTTCAAACTAAATATTATGGCATACAGTATAAGATTATCACGCCGGGTCATTCAGGAGTAATTTGCAGAGTTAAAATCAGACGTCAAAATTAATAGGTTTACATTAAATGTGCGAACACACTAAGGGTTTTCATACACAAACTTGTATATGAAGTAAAAAAACTAAAAATAATAATAATTTTTGTGGGTGTATAAACACTAGACATGCAGACATACATTTGGCAGCGTCAGTGCGAACTGGCACCTACGTAGACAGTACTCCAAGGTCACCACAATAGTCTCCCTTTTGTGTTTAAAGGACCCAGGAAATAACATTGACCCACACATTTACTTTCAGTTTGTGCCAGATTTTTTTTGTATCTCAGAGATTTAATTTATTCATAGGTATTTTAAGTGTTTTAAATCATGCCTAGTGTTGCTGGCAATACAAGGATATTGCACTGCATGGTGATAGTGTAGTGCCTCCTGATGCCTCTCCAAGTGTCCCTGGCTCTTCTGGCATAGGTGACAGTTTGTCTAGCACTTCAACAAACAGTCCTAGTGCTATGACTCAATATTTTTTTAATAGGGATTAGCCCACCCGGGCACAGGTCACTGACCCACATCAGGGCCTAGGGGGCGAAAATGTAATAATAATAATAATAATAATAATAATAATAATAATAATAATAATAATAATAATAATAATGATAATAATAATAATAATAATTATAATAATAATAATAATAATAATAATAATAATAATGAAGAACCATACAGAAATACAAAAATGAAAAAAAATATCAAGAGTGAAAGCGATATATGTATGTGGTGTTGTCAATGGCAAGAGAAACAATTGAGACCCTGCAATTGCATGTAAATGAGGCAGAAAGTCAGATCAGCAACCTGGGACTTGGTCACAGTTTTAAGTGATGCCATATGGCAGCAGGGTCTACCATTAGACAACACATTATGCTTCCAATATCTTCCCAGGCAGTAGTACCTCCCTGTTTGATAGCTGCCTACTACCTACAATTATCTTTTGCGCTTGGAGGACAAAAATAAATACCTTATTTTTCGGCTTAAAAGACGCACTTTTTATGAACAAAATATACCTCGAAAATTACCATGCGTCTTCCAGGATGCTAGTCGATGAGTTGTAGCAGAGGTTTTTGAAATCAGCCCCTTACAAAGACTGTTACCTCATTATAGTACTTAACAATTACAAGTATTCTCTATACAGTACTATAAAACTATTGATTTTACTAATATTGTTTATATATTGCCCCCAAAAAAATAAACCCTTGCTGTGTGGTTTGTTTACTAATGGCAGTGGTGTGGCAGCGCCATCTATTGAGAATTGCTAAAGGTTGTCTGTTGGTCTCAAATGCAGGAATGTCTGTTTCTTTATATGGCTCTCATATTTGGACACCTATTTACAGTAGGCTCTCATATTTGGATACCCATTTAGACTGTAAAACCCAAAATTAAAATCTTCCAAATTTAAATACACCTTAAGTCATCCAAGTAAAACACACACACAACATTGGCTGTCCTTATGTTTTCAATTTTATTACCACTGGTGGGTAGATATTTTTTTAATTCAGAAACATTTATTAAAATATAAATGAACAGTAAATAAGTGTTGCTTTTCACATTCTTATGTAGAGTGATGATATGTTTTACACATGTGCGCACTTACATACATGATCTCACTTTTTTTTACCCTTAATTGTTGGCTACTTCCATTGTTTCATTTATTAACATTAAATAACATTACTTAAAACAACCTTACTAATTTTACTACAGCTACAACCAGGGTCTTATTTTCTTCAGTTTTATATGCAGAACCAATCAGTCACTGGTTTTGTAAACTAACAAAAACAATGGCGTGTTTAATATTCTTCATATTATTAATGTTGTATTGTTCAATTTGCACAAACAATAATTCAATCAAAAAAGAAATTCAGAAACATTAATTAAAACATATATGAACAGTAAATAAGTGTTGCTTTCATATTCTTATGTAGAGTGATGATATGTTTACATGTGCACACATACAGGATCTCACTTTTTTTACCCTTAATTGTTAGCTACTTCCATTGTTCCATTTATTAACATTAAATAACATTACTTAAAACAACCATATTAATTTTTCTACATTAATTTTTATGACTACAATGGAAGACTTATTTTCTTCAGTTTTATAATTATGTAGAACCAATCAGTCACTGGTTTTGCAAAAAATGAGTTGTTTTTTTTACTTTTATTTTGTTTTTAAATAAAGATTTTTTGTTTTATATAGACGTTGATATACATGTTTACATTTGCTTACCTTCTACTGTTGGAAAATATTTCCCGTCGTTGTCATACGACAAAAACAAAGAAAGAATGTAAACACTACAGCCCTAAGACATGGAGGTGACCAGGTGTATAAAATGAGTGCTGTATTAAAGACTTCACCTTCTTGTATAGATTTTATTTTTAAATTGATGAAAATGGCGACTGATAAGCAGTTCTAGTGATGATATTCAAAGGGTGTGTGTGGTAGACCCTGCTGCTATGTGACCAAGTCCCAGGTTGATGATCTGACTTTCTGCAGGGTCTCAATTGTTTCTCTTACTTTGACAACACAACATACATACAGGTATATTGTTTCTCACTCTTGATATTTTGTTTTCATTTTGTATTTCTTTATTATTATTATTATTATTATTATTATTATTTTATTATTATTATTATTATTATTATTATTATTATTATTATTATTATTATTATTATTATTATTACATTTTTCGCCCTAGGCCCCAATGTGGGTCAGTGACCTGTGCCCAGGTGGGCTAAAACCCATAATTTTTTATTTTTTTTTAGAATTTCATTTCCAAAATCAGGGTGCGTCTTCCACGATGCCAGTCTTCCAAGCCGAAAATCCGGTAATCTGTATTCAGCCTCTGGGCGTGCTCTGTACTCAGCCTGGGCATGCCCATCAGAATGCAAAATTTCCATCACTATTACTTAGTGATATTAATTTTGTTCACAACTTTTCCACTATAACCATTTTTTCCTAAATATGTATGTTTTACAATGGAATAAAGTTCATATTGCAATCACATGAAATAATGAAGGTATAAAGTGATGTACAAACATTTTCATTAAGCATAAATAAAAAAATTATGTTCTACTCATGTTTACGAATAGAAATAATTTTTTTTTATAAATGATTACTTATGTAAAACTGTTAGTAGATTTTTTGGGGAATAGCCCACCCAGGTATGGGTCATCGACCCACATCGGGGCCTAGGAGGCGAAAAAATAAGAATAAAAAATTAAAATAGAAAAAGCGGTTATATTAATCTACACCGCGAAGATGCCGGAAACTCAGCTTTTTAAAGTGAGACAGATTGTATGAGTATGGAAACACAGAAGAAGGCAGAGTAGTCCACTGTTTGGCTGTATGAGGAAAGAAGGATGTACTATAACGGATTTCGAGTGTGACCGACATCCATAGAGTAATGATGTGCACCGCGAACAAGCGGCGTGTTACAAGCCCACGGCCTTGCTGAAAGTACACAGGATGCCAAATCCACCAAACAGTGCCCGTTAAAGTAGCTGTAAAAGAGAGAGAGAGTGAAGCAACATTGTGGCGAAGAGAAAGGGAAAAAAGATTTGTCACGTGCCTGAGCGCTCGGCAACTCGCTGCATCTGTTCACGCTTCCATTTCACACAAGCTACTAATAATTTGTTAATTGTACTTATTATATT